CCGGCGGGGGGCAGGGCTGGGGAATGCCTCACCCGGAGCAAAAGGTACCGCACGTCACTGATATACAGCTGTTGCCTTATAGTACGAATTGGTGTTAAAGTGGACCTTCGCCCCCTTTCACTAAAAATCACATCAGCATGCAGCTCTTCATGCTGATATGAAATGACTTTACATTTATTAGTTACACATATTTTTCTTTTACTACAATTATTGTTTTTCCAGTTCCTGAGGTGTGTTCAGCCGCTGCGAGTGCTGAGTTAGCAAACCCTCGTTGAATGCTGTGCTGCAAATCAGTGCTCAGCGCTGCTAACATAGTACTTGCAGCGGAAGTGAATGTGGATGCAGAGCGCTGAATGTGACGCAGAAGGTGGGGACAGAGCACCAGTGCCCATTTTAACTGTGGGCACACCTGGCTTCTCTAGGGAAAGGTGCCTGAATCCCGATGCAGGAAATCACAATTCAGTGTGGGAAGCTACAATTTAATGTTTTGGTGGACGAGCACACCAAATATTTGTTGGAAAATGATATTTATTAGTGAAAGATATCCATTTTGCTTAGCACTGTGCAGCCAAAGTGTTCAGTGACGCTGCTGCAGCGAACTGAAGTGCTGCAGAACAGCTACTCAGCGCTTGGCTAAGGAACTGAACACGCCTCTGGTTCTCTTGGGCATTAGTGATGTAATGTGCCCCAACGTTGCATCCTGGGAAGATTACATCAGCAGATCATTGCTGGGAAATCTCATCTGTATTCTCATGAGATCTCAGGGAAAGGCATTTTCCTTCCCTGAGATGATGTGCATGGTCACATGTCCTGGTCACATGTGTCAGAGTTCCAGGAAGTGAAGAGAGATGGATTGATCTGCCCTTAGTTTAAATGGCCACTGTGAGAAGAATGGGGAGGAAAAGAAAAAAAAGGTAAGCAAAGAATAAAAAGCCGACAATTATCTAGAAGTATGTGTTTGTAGATTGTCATTACTAAACATTTCTAAAGGTGTGTTTGTTGTTATTTCAAAGATAAGGGTAAATAAGATTTATTATAATGGAGTGTCACCCGCACAACACTAGATGGGTCTGATGAATATAGGAAATTCCTATACTCGTCAGCACCATCTGGGGGCGCTCGTGTTGTGCAAATGGCACTTTTATAAAATGAACCCCTTGTGTGTGAGGTTAGGAGTTAGGACTCATTCATATGGGTGTGCACATCCGTATGGGCGCTTGCCCATATGAAGCTTGCAGCCAGGGGCGTAACTAGAAATCACAGGGCCCCATAGCAAAATTCTGTATGGGGCCCTGTGATTTCTAGTTATGCCCCTTGCAGAGCCAACCTGAGATCCCACACAGCCCACCTGAGAGTGACCCTGCAGAGCCCACCATAGACTCTCTATGGTGGGCTCTGCAGGGTCTCAAGTGGGCTGGTCACACCCCTGCACACCTCTTACCTGTCAGCCCAAATCCGCTGGCAGCCTTCTCCACTGCTGGGCCCCACCTCCTCCTCGGTCACCGGCGGGCTCTGCCTCCTCCACCGACGCCGGGCCCGGCCTCTTCCTCCTCCACCGTCGCCGGGCCCGGCCTCTTCCACCACAAGCTGCTGGCTGTCACTGACTCAGCAGCGGCTGTGAGGAGGAATGCGCCACTGTGCAGATCACTGACAGGTTGTCAGTGATCTGCACAGTGGCGCGTTCCTCTTCACAGCTGCCAGTGACAGCCAGCAACCTGCGATGCCATAGCGACCCAGGTGGCCCACATCAGTGGGACCCTTTGTTTCTCTTCTTTGGCCAAGCCTCCCTGTGCCCCAGGCCCCATAGCCACCGCATAGGTCGCTATGGTGATAGTTCCGCCACTGCTCGCAGCTCAAACTGCTGCATGAACTTCTTTGCCTCGTTTGTTGAAATGACTGCGCTGCCCCATGCTGACCTGTGGTAAATGCAGCAAAATGCACCTAAAAGCATCATGTTATGTTTTACTATTCCGTTTGCATTCTGACAATTCCACATTGTAGTGTTTGCGCCAGCTGATCAATATCCCCGCCTCTGTACAGGTCCCATATAACATATAACATATATGTCCGTATAACATATTTGGTTTAAAAAAATATTCCAGTTTGTAGTTATTGATGTTTCTATAAATAATCGCAGATTGCAGCGAATCCTCAGCATAATGCTGGCGTTTGGCAGGATTTTCATCAGAGTCAAAGTAGTGGCCCCACACAGGTTAACAGAGGGTGTCTCCTGATAATTTGTCCCTGTGATTGCTGCCGCCAGCTGATTGAACATTCCGCAGAGTGCTGATTAAAAACCCAGGATTTCATTTATTCCTAAAGGGAAAGAAAAGTCAATTCTCGCTGAGCAAATCTCGTGTTACTTTTTAGCATTTGTACAAAACTAATTTTTTATGTGATTTTTTTTGTCACATTTTTATATTCTTCGTCTTCCATATTTTCTGATCTTGTATTAAATATAGAGATCTGAAGATTCACCACTAGAGGGCACACTCACTGGCTCAGTGCAATTACTCCCTCTCTGTTAATGTGTATATGAACCTTAACCACAGACTTCACTTATTTGGCCGCATTTGGTCTGGACTGTTGAAGGTGTTTTGTTTTATCTGTTCGATAAGTGACAAAAAAAGACCCTATTGATCCTGGCAGAAATTATTTCTCCTTTAATAATTTATTTCATTCCAGTGTGTCAGGCTTACTGCTTACCATACACAGGGGTAGCCGATTTGATTTATGAATACTCATTTCATCAAAACACTCAGAACTTCTGTTCTCTCTGGAAACAGGTACATACCCTTTCTTAAAAGCTGATCAGCTGGCAGAACTCCCCTCCTTCTTAATGTTTTGTGATTGGCTGTATAAGGTAACAATCACATTTAAACAGCCAAACACGAAGCAATGCAATTGTAACAAACTCTGTCAGTTGGTTTCTGAGATGGCGATCAAGAGACAACATGTACTTGTTTAATGAGAAAACCTGCAGCAAGTGAAAGCTCAATGAGAATTGGGGGAGGGGGAACTATTGTTGTCTTCTAGTATTTATTAATGTAAATGTTTTTGTTTTTTGTTTTCAGGAAAGCGTAGATCTTGGGGAGATCATGTACTCGCTTTGCTACTTACCTACCGCTGGCAGAATGACACTTACAGTTATCAAGTGCCGGAATCTGAAGGCAATGGATATCACGGGTTCGTCCGGTATGTATATATGTAATATGTATATAAGTACGGATCATGCTGAACTCTCGCATTCTCTGAGACAAGAAACAAAAATAAAGAAATTAAATTATCAGGTCACCCAAAGGTGACATTTCAGTTATAGGTAGAGCCTGGTGTGCCAGTCCCTGGCATCTTATATTGTATGTCCCGTATACTCTAACAGTGAGACCTCTCTGCTGTAATTCCTGACTCTGCTGCTGTCTACCCGGGAGTTTTTGGTGTCCCCACCTTTGTGTTTTCCAGCTCCTCCTGCTACGTTCCCCATAATATTAAATCAATAAAATAAATCCAGCTGGGATGGGGGAACCTCATAATGGGCTCAACAAGTGTGCAAAACCAGGAACTCAGTATAGGAATGGTGGGAAACCCCTCATAATGGGCACAACAAGTGTGCAGAACCGGGAACTCAGTACAGGGATAGTGGGAGACCCTCATAATGGGCACAGCAGGTGTACAGATCCCAAAACTCAGCATAAGGTAGGGTTGAGGCCTGGTTTAATGGGCGTGGAAAACAGCGGGGTGGACAGGGCTATTGGTGGAGGTGGTGAGGTTAGATGTGGGGGTGGGTTTAAGAGTTGGGTGGGCAGGGTTAGGAGTGGGGTGGGTGGAGTTAGAAGTGGGGTGCACAGGGTTTGAAGTGTGGGTGGGTGGAGTTAGGAGTGGGGTGGGCAAGGTTAGAAGTGTATGTGGATGGGGTTAAGAGTTGGTGGGTGGGTAGCTGGGGTTATGATTGGGGGTGAGCAGGGTTAGAACTGGGGGTTAATGGGGTTAAGAGTTGGATGGACAGGGTTAGGAGTGGGATGGGCAGAGTTATCAGTTGAGGTGTGTGGGGCTGAGCAGGGTTAGGATTGGGGGTGAACGGGGTTAGAAGCTGGGTGGACAGGGTTAGGAGCTAGGTGGGCAGAGTTAAGGGTGTGGGTGGGCGGGGTTAGGAGCAGAAGCTGGGACTACGTCTGTCCTTATTCCTGCACATACATCATTTCTAGTCATTGACTTGATGGACGGTTTGAGTTTCACCAGTCCTGGCGCATGTATCACTGCCGGCCATGTACATCAGAGCTTGGCCGCCCAGTTAGTTTGTCCCTTGACAGGTTTCCTTTAAACATGAACAAAGTTCACCTTTTCTAACAGCAAACCAATATAAGTGAAAAGTGAGCAGACGGAAAGATAACAAGAAATGGGGAACTTATCGGCGGCGGCTCAGCCCAAGATGGACAATAGATTTCTGATTACATAATACTGCTGTATCCAATTATCGTCTCTGCCGCAAGAAGAATAATGACTTAAATCATTCTGAAAAGGTCCGGGCCAGCAAGAACAATTTACGTAATCAATGATACAGGTAATTACAGAGGATTGGGGACGGGAGAACCTGGAGACTTGCTATCAGCGAGGATGGCGGCGTGCACCGCAGGGTAATTGAACGTGGGTTCTAGAAATAAAAACACTCCGTTCTTCAGATCTGACCTAAGAGAGAGAGAAAAAAAAGATGTAGTGGAACTTTTTGACTTTTTGTTCTGTCATCAAAATCAGTACAAAGGCAACAAGACTTAAAATTGTCACATCTAGACTAAAAATAGAGCTGAATTGTGTGAGCTCTTTTACCTAACAAATGAGTCCTGAGATGACCCAAACTTTCGATGCTGCAGTTAATCAGTAGAGCCAGGTCACCTCCCCACCAGTGACGTCCGGTACCTCTTGTTCCAGGTGAGGCATTCCCCAGCCTCGCCCCCAGCACGTCACCCCCTCCGGACAAAGCACCGCCCCCCGTCGGATGAAGCACCGCCCCCAACCCGTCCTGAAGCTAGTGGAAGGGAAGAGCCTCCCTGTCCCTCACTTGCTCCTCACTGCTGAGGCGCTCCGTCCATGACAGGTTACACAGTGGGGAGGATTTCCCTTCTGTGCAACCTGTTAGATGCCGATCTGAATGGAGAAAAAGCTGTCAGCTGTCAGACATGAAGCTGACAACTTTTTTCCTCCATAATTCTAGGTGAGGCTTCCCTGACCTCACGTCCCTGCTCACGAAACTGATACCAACTCAGTTTGAGGTATTTATACTAGCTGCATTTAAAATTTTTATTACTGATTAGTTTTACCTAGAGTTCTGTTTTAATGGGTTACTGTCAGGAAAAATATGAATGATGAAACTGCCAAAAACCTATGCGGCTGTAATCCTCGTCCTTGCTTCACTAGTGAGCCAGATATATGAACAAGCACGCATTCAGTGAATAAATTATTGCAGCTGCTTTTGCAGACTTTAACTTTTATCCTTCTGGCTCCAACAAGTAAAAGTGAAACTGTCGCAGAGAAACATAAGATCCCCTGCCAGAGAGGGCTGTGCTGGACTGGAATACAAATCCTTTATATGTATTTTATCTGTACAGTTAGCTTTTTGCCTGCAGTTCAGCTTTTATTGATATGAAAGTAGAACTTGACCAATGTGTCTTTTTTGCTTCGTATTTGATAGTTGCATTCCAGACACATGACAGATATTATTTTCACTTCTCAGACCCCTATGTGAAAGTTTCCCTCATGTGCGAAGGACGGAGACTGAAGAAACGGAAAACCACCACGAAAAGGAACACATTAAACCCCGTCTACAATGAGGCCATCATCTTCGACATCCCTCCGGAGAACATGGACCAGGTCAGCCTCTCTATAGCCGTCATGGACTACGACAGGTAAGTGTTCCGGCCTCTGAGTCTGACCTCTGATCCTGTCCTGAGAGAGATACAGAAGCTACAGAAGATTCGTCTTCAATGTATCTTTCATATGTTAATTGCTCTATAATACTAAAACGTTTTGTAACCTAACTATAATAATATTAATAATATTGTGCATGCTGATCAATATCAACATGAAATATATGGGTTAATATCAATAGCTCACTACAATATGGGTGATCTGGTGAATGAGTAGGCAGCCTCTACAATCACGGTATCCTTGGCTTGACAGAGAACACACTAGATATAAAAATTGAAGAGCCACACCATTTAAAATAGTCCAGGTACAACTTAATTCCATTAGGGTCAGGGGACATTTAAGTAGAGTAGCCAATGTGTTTCTGAGGTACAAAACACACCCCCTTCATCAGGGCTTAATTAGACAAATCATGCATGTGGACTACAATCCCTGCAGCTTGAAAGTTGTATTGAGTTGTGATGAGAGCACTTCAGGCGAATTCGGCAGCAGAAATGCTATTACAGAGACCTAGAGCTGAGCAATATAGGATTACGTGTGATCTCTTACTTCCTGCTGTGCCTTTGAGACAACAAGTGTAGGGGCAGCTCCCAGACACAACACAGACTCCATTACTCTATTACTAAAAGCAAAAAAAAAAAAAAAAGCTTTGGCTTTGCATACACTTTATAGAAAAAAGCAACAGAGCAGTTGTGTCTACAATTTTAGCATAACATTGCACCAAGGTTATGTTTGAAATCGAATACACTATAAAAAGATAACAGCTCCGGGAATCCTTTTGTTTTCTAAACACTCTAAACTGAATTATGAGAGTATATAATTAGGGTAATGAACGCCTTCTGCAGGTAAACTGCACCTTTGCACAGGCTATGGACATGAAAAACCTTTTTACACTCTTAAGGAGTAAACAAGCTTTTTAAAACAAGTAAATGAGCTTTACAAAAACAAAAAGCCATTCCTGACCCGTCTAGCTCATTTTAATGAGAAGTTATTCACTCTCAAAGATCCTCAAAAATCACTACAAAGACTCTAAAGAATGTTTCTGCCATTATTATTATTGGGGTGGCAGCCAGCCAAGATCTACTCTGATAGATAATGCTGTGCCTTTGTTATAAACTTTAAAAATGAATTGCTCCACAATGCTTATAGCTTCTTAGGCGAATTAAGCCATTTGAACCACCCCACCCCCTTTCCGAAGTCTAGAAAAACTCCCATAGTTGGCATTCTCCTATCCTGCTTTGTTGCTGGAAAGCTCCTGATTTTGCAGGCTTTCCTCCAACAACACAGGAGTGAGTGCTCTCCCTCGTTCAAAACCCTGTGTACAGTATATGCAGTGTGCTTTCTCTACCTCTGTTGCAGATAAGCTCACCCCCTGCTGCTTTGGTCAGGCTTTGGGGGATAGGGGGGTTTAGCTAATGGCGTACATCTTATACTAATCAACAGTTTTCAAAGCTGCACAGCTTTTTTTTTCTACTGGGGCTACTTGAATGCATAGGCTATTTTCTTGATAAGGTGAATTTAGCCTTTAAAGTGCTTTTAGTGCTTGTTCAGGATATATAAATACTTTAGTTTCATTATCTTGTCACAGGCTCACTTTCTAAAACTGCTGCAATATATAGCTGATTGTTTAACAGTACTGATCACACAACCTCCAATGGACATAAGCAGCTGTGCTACTAAACAGAGATGCTGGTGATGGTAAACTTTACAATACATACTAAGCATCTCAGCCTACAGCACTGTGTATAAAAGTGTTAGGTCCCTTGACTAATGATTACAGGATGTCTAAGAAACCCTCATTCATGTTAGCAGCAATGCAAAATTCCTCTGCAGAAGCCGCTCCTTGCTGCACTGGCCACAGAACGTACTGAATCTGGTTACAGTTGAAGACAAATCTTAAATGGTAAATTGAATTGACTTCCTGTCCATAACACATTGCAGTGTTCACTAGGTAGTCTTTAGCATTTTGCTGATTAGATTTGCCCTTTAATTTAATATAATTTAAATAATCTTCTGCATTGTACTTCTGCTTGCCAGATAATTGATTGAAAGCCCTAACTGAGTGATCTTCTTTTCCCAGGGTGGGCCACAACGAGGTGATTGGAGTCTGCAGAACTGGCATTGATGCTGAAGGACTTGGCAGGGACCACTGGAATGAGATGCTAGCTTATCCCAGAAAACCGATCACACACTGGCATGCCCTAACCGAGGTAAACCCCTCTCACTTCCCACTGCGCACATATATGCCAGCATTGCAGGTGGGCTGGTTCACACCTGCGCGTTTTACAGTGCGTTCCTACGCGCTGTAAAACGCTCAACATGTGAAAACCAATGATTGCCTATGGGCATGGTTCTCACCTGGGCGTTTTACAGCGCGTAGGAGCGTGCAACAAAACGCCCTACGCCCAAAGAAGTACAGGAGCTTCTTTGGGGCGTTTTGCCGCATGTTTCCATTGGTATTCCCGAGTGTGGATCGGGGTTAACAAAGCGGTAACCCCGAACCACACTCGGGAATATAGCCTACAGGTCTTACCTTGTCCGCGATCCCCGCTGTGTCCTCCAGCGGCTGCCGACTTCCGGGTTCTGTCCCTTGCGAGCGGCAGCTCCTGGCTGTGTCCCTTGCAAAATGCTTTTGGCAATCCAAACCACCAAAATAACACTGAAACTTGCATTCACTGAAATCTGGATTCAGATTTGGCCATTTGAGTCTTTTGAAATTCTGTCCAAATTTAATGACATCCGAAATTCAGGACCAGCTCTGATTTTACACTGTCCCTATTAACTGGTTTAACCAACCATATTCTCGCTTCTCTCCTCCCACTATATTCTTGAATAAGGGTTTGCTCATGATGGGTCATAAGTAGGTCCTCCAAGTTCTATGGGTAATCTAGGGATGAAAATATTAAACTATGACTATTGGGTTAGAAACATTATACTATAAATGTTAAAGGAACAGCAGAAATGTGTCAGTTAATGGAATCTCTTCTCTTTTGGAATGCAGCTGCCAGGTCGGGCGACCAGCTTTGACAGTCAAGGTTCATGCTCTTCACCGAAGCCTCCTCTGACACCGTAAAAAGCCACCTGCGTGGGTCTTTTTTCACCTGTAACCGCAGCAAATGCTTACCTATGATGTGAGTGTCCTTATCACAGTCTGTACAGCAGCCAATCAGAAAATGGTGTGACAACGCTCACTTGGTTTATGCAGCATCCTAGACGCACAAGCAGAAGATGGCCCTGAGGCTCACACAAGAGGCCTACCCCACACCTTGTGAAGGGTCCACCCAGAAGCGTGATCTATAACACAGACGCACTCAGGAGTAACATTCTATGTAATCTTATAAATACACAGGTGCCACCAAACTGGGGAGGGGAGAGGGAGGCCTGACAATGAAGCCGGGTGACGGGTCTTGGGCTATACCCTACCTGACCTCTTATACAACTCTTCCCAAATCTCATGGGGCTTACATTGAACCAGCAGTTTAACAGCAGCGAATGAGTTACACAAAAAAAAGTTATATAAAAACATATGCAGAGTAATTATGCCTAAAAAAAAAAAAGAATAGCGGTCTTACAAAGCAAAACATTTAAATATTTATATTGCTATTTGCATATTTTTGTAAATTTCCATTTGGTGTTTCAATATACAAGGGCTGGGCTGTAGATAAGTATTTATTTGGTGTTCTTATTGGACAACTCCCTTTCGAATGTCTGTATTTTGGGTATTTAAAAAAAAAAAGAAAATAGTTTTCCTGCTGTCAAAATTGTTTATATACAGCTAATGAAATAGAATGATCAGCTTTACCTCAAGGGTAGATGATTGTTATTTTACATTTAAATGCTCTATATTATTAAAGCTGAACTCCAGGCAAACAGCTAAATACAGAGGTGAAATGCGAGTTACATACCGGGTGCTCTTAATTCTGTTCAGCCAGCTTTGTTAACAAGGCACCCCAGGCTTTCAACACAGTCAGTGACCTCAGTTTTGGTGTACTGCAGTTAAGCAACACAGATTATTCACGGACACAGTTCCCAGCTTGTGAAGGAACACCACCGCACTGAAGTTACCACTTTACTCTCTCCTCCACTCAACAAGCTGCCAGTGTTAAATTCAGGACACTGTGCAGTGCAGTAGAGTCTTGCTGGCTCATATGCCTGCCTCTCCCATTCCCAGTCTTGCTGTTCAATGGTTTAGATGAAGCTAACATAAAAAAGGAACTTAGATATCCATACTAGCTGTATTTACAACTAAATGCCTGGAGTTCTCCTTTACGGAGAATAGGTACAGTAAATGCTAAGACAAGCAAAATGTGTCTGATATTAATTTACATAGATATGCAAGTTATGATATCAGGAAAAAAAAAGATAATAGCAAAATAACAAATTCCAGAGCAGAGGACATTAGAGGAGACTTGAGATAATTGCCCACAGCAACCAACCAGGTTACAGCCTTGAAAGCCTTGGTTCTCAACCATGTTCAGTGGGTTGCCGCGTGCCTTGCACTCTTCTAGGTGAGAGGCTTCTCAGTCTCCCCCTGCCGCAGTTCTCGCACTGAGCAGCCATTCAGAAAATGCTGCCTGGCACTGAGTACCTGGGTGGGCTGGAGCTATGGGCGCGAGGGAGCTCCATCCAATACGTGCATTGCTTACAGCTCCCTCGCATGTCCTATAGAGGTGCCTGGATTGGAGTGACGTCACATTCTGGCTCCCGGCACCTCTACAGTGAACGCAAGGAATGCACATATGGATGGAGCTCCATCACAGCACAGCAGCGCAGACTGGACCCCAGGCTGAGCATCCACTCCAGTTCTAGTAAGGTAGGGAGACTGGGTGGATCTTAAAAAAAAGAGAGATTGTGTCTGTGGTTGTGTGTCTGTCAGTGTTATTGAGGGTCCGTTCACACTAGTACAGTGCGTTCTGGTGTGGGAGGTGCGTTGCATTGCCATTTATCTGAATGGTACCACAAACGCACCTCCCGCCCACAGTTCAATTGCCCGCACCGGAACGCGCGGCACCGCAATGTCATGTATTCCATTGCAGTGCGACTTGGGTTGCAACTTAATGACTAAGGACAAATGTGGGTCCTGAGGTTACACAGGTTGAGAACCACTGCTTTAAAGGGCAGGGGAAATTTGATTGGTCACCATGGGCAAGGGCTCCAGTTTCTTGTAGTTTTTGTTCATCAAATACTTTATATATGTACGTGTGTGTGTGTGTGTGTGTAAAGGGGTTTGATTCTTCTTCCTCTGTACTTGCTTATACATTTTATGTAGGTTTTGTTTAATCTAACTTTTTGTGTATAGGGAGCCCTCCTCCTTATCCAAACTAGGGAGTGGTGTACACTTTTTTGTTTTTAGTCTGGCGGTTGGGTGCTTGATGCCCAAACTGCCATTTTGAATTTCCCACCTATGTCGTCTTCCTATGATTAAAACGATGATGCATCACTTCTGAGTGATTAGCACTGATTCCTAAAAGCTGCAGAAGCCTTTACTGATTTTATGTCTGCACTATACAGAAGGGTGGTTGTCCTATGGCTGCAGGTGACACAGTGGGGCTGATTTACGAAGCCCAACACGCACACGCGCAGGCTGCGTGCGCGTTTTAACCCGCAAAAATGCATTTACCAAGCGAACACGCACATCATGGCGCGGTTTCACGCAGGCATGGCGCGTTTTTATGTATTTACTTGCGCGCGTGTCGTGTAATATGCGCCATCGGCTGCACGCCACTATAATAAAAAATTGCAAGTGCTAGAATCATATTTCTACTACTGCCATACATGTGCAAATCATACATATGATACATATGTTATTGCTATGCTTCTGTGCATACAAACATTCCACATAACACTTACAAACTGGTAAAAGACAGTATTCCAAAATAAGGTACTTACACACCAGTGCCGTGTTCGGATGTGCTCCAGGCAACTGCGCATGTGCATGAGCAAGTTCACACGTTTTTTGATCCTAGAAACACGACCACGCCAATCCTGCACGATTTCTTCGTAATTCTAGCAAACACGCGCACATGGCGGATAAATTTGAGCGGCGCGTTTTTCATCCATTCTGTCCTGTCCAGAGGTGTTTGTTTTTGGCAACTTATTTTCACCTGCCAGTTTTCATGTGTTCCTCATTCAACTTATGGAGAGACACTATTCATTTTTACACTAATTAATTAATACCCCAAAAACATGAGTGCATCACAGTTGATCAAAAAAAGGTTAGCTCATGCATTCACATTCCTGCATTCATCAACACAAGCAACACAACATGCAGCTAATTCACACAACATCAGCATACAATT